CGGACCCCCCCCCCTCCCCCCCCTCCCCCCGGCAGAATAAGGCATGGAGGGCACCAGATTAAAAGAATGATTGGAGGCTTTTGGAGGATTTTTAGTTTGATTTCAATTGATGATTTCAGTTGATTTGAAGTGGAATCTAATCCGATTCCAACTGATCTTCAATTTTCAATGGATTTTTAGAGGAATTTAAATTGTATTTCAATTAGTGTTTTATGGAGTTTTCATTCGATTTCAATTGATTTCTAATGGATTTTCATGTGGTTTGAACTGATTTTGGAAAGATTTTTAGTTAGATTTCAGTTGAATTTAAATGGAATTCACTTTTTCAATTCATTCTTAAAGGAGTTTTAATTTGATTTCAATTGGTTTTTAACGGAATTCTAATTCGATGACAATTGATGCTTAAAGGAATTTTAAATACCAGCAGGCTGTGCAGAATTATTGCTACTAACGTGGTCCCTTTTCCAATTCTGGTTCGGGCTGCTGTGGGGCGGCCACGGTAAGGGGTAGCCCAGGAAGGAATGAAATCATTTTGCTTTGAAGTAAGCGGGCATATAAGAAGCTATAGCTTTCTGATAGGCCTGAACTTCTTGAAAATCCTTGGTTGTAGAGTTTCTGAAAGCAGCAAGCATAAGCAAAGACCGACAGAGCAGGAACTTAAAGCACCAGGTGCCTATGCAGAATTACTTTCTACTGTAGCTGAAGCTACTTGCTTAACTCTATTATCAAAATGGGTTCCCGGGTCCCTTTTATTGTTGAGGTGCTCGGATTAGGGCTGGGGGGGAATGCCAGGGATGATTACAGATCCTAATTCCAGGGAACATGAGCCGCCCAAGAAATTGCCGAAATCTCCTTTCGCGAAAGTTCCAGAGCATGTTTAATGTTGGCCTTCTTGGAATGATTATCTTTATTGAGTGTAAAAGAATGTAAAGGGAGATGTTTGTTGAACAACGACCCAGGTTTACAGTTCCCAGATTTTTCGCATCGGGTTTGGGGTATTGGGGTGTTGGGGGCTTTGGGTTCTGGGTAAGTACGAATGAGGGTTATGTCAGATTTCCGGCTCTGCAGTTAGATTACAGCTTAGGGTTTGAGGGTTAGATGTAGGCTATAGGGTTCAGCCGGGTTCTATGGGTGTTGAAACTTGCAAAGGGTTATGCGGGGCAGAGTAGGGGTTAGGGGCCATATGCTTGCCACTCAGGGTTTGGATGTCTCAATGGAGTAGTTCTAACAGGCAGAGCAGGGTGGCCATTTTGCAATGCCCACTTGACTTTCTGTCAGTTTTGTGGCTAACGAGGGAACAGGAAGGGTGGGTTGTATGCTCCAGAAAATCAACATGCCCCTTTAGGTTTACAATGTAGAGATCAAGATTCAGGCCTTACACAGGGTTCAGGGTCGTCTAGGGGTCTGCAACGCGATAGCCCTTGTTTCGAGCGCCTTTATGCCTTAGGTATGTTGGTGGTTAAGGTGCAGAAGGTTCTGACTTCAACAAATCCCACTCCATCTGCAGACCCTAACAAGAAGTAATTGTACCTGAGAGACCTCTTTGCAGTATTTAGAGACTGTATCAAGTCATGTACGAACGGAGGGTGATTTTGCCAGCCAGTTTGCAAGCTTACATCCCGCAAACGGGGGTTCAGGGTGGTAGAGTGGAGGTATACTATTGGCATTCCCCTTTGGCCGTACAATGTTTCCAGGCGAAAACCGTAATCGTTCTGGTGAAGGTGAACTTCTGACCCGCAAGCAGAAGCCCTGTATGGATTTAAGCCCGAAATCTTGTGGCCTGTTTCCTTGGACTTCGCAAGGACACACGTGGAGTCTCAAGTGGGGATCAACACTACAGTTCTTGTCAACACCCTTAGCCCCAAATCTCATCCCGAAATCCTAAGCCCTAAACCAAGCCCCAAACCCTGAAGCCTATTCCTAAACCGTAGATCCTCCTCCCGATGTATTTCTGTTTTCCTCCCAACAGAATATCCCTCCACATCCCCATGCAACCTACGTTGTATAGTTTCCATTTTCTTTCCCATTATCCCAATATAACCCCAAGATACTCTAGTAGTTTCCATTTTCTTGTCCATTATCCCAATGTAAACCCTAACACTAACCCTAAACCCTAAACCCTATATAACCCCATTATAGTAGGTTCCATTTTATTCTTGTATTCCATTATCCCAATGTAAACCTAAACCCTGAACCTAAACCCCCTGAACCCATGCACCCAGCTTGCAGACCGGCGGAATGGCCATGATGGGCTGCGGTGCCCCTGGGCGCTAGCGTCACGCGTGGCGGAAAAGGATGTCCATTGCTATTCAAAGAAAGTAATGGGGGCATATTAGAAAATATAGGGGTATGATATAGGGGTTATAGCAATTTGGAACCACCCCGGAGAACTCAACATTGAGATGATACAAGTTTGCGGGCATGTCGCGGGACAGGTTGTCAAGCAGACAGCTTCAAGAAGCACGGAGCAGCGTGCCCCCTCCTGGAACATGATGCTTCGCACTCTTCCTCAGAAATATAATCTCTATATAACCCGTACAGAATATATTCCCATATTCCTTACCAAGCACCAGTACGTCTTCTCCCCCCAAACCCTAGACTTCCGCGTCACCATCGAGAACCCCTCCCTTGCACCCCAAACCTCAACCTGAAGTCCGGTGCTCCAGCGCAGACGTTAACACCCTAAACCCTAAGTCCTAAACCCTAAACCCTAAATCCTAAACCCTAAGTCCTAAACCCTAAATCAGTCCTAAACCCTAAACCCTAAATCCTAAACCCCAAACCCTGAATCGCATACTCTGCATCTACAAGCCTAGGGCTCGAATGATGCATCCCCTTCAGTCCTAAGATCCAATATGAGCTATAGTCTAAACTCCTTTAAGGGGGCTAATATGGGGGATTATATAGGGGACTACTATAGGGGTTATTAAGGGGGATACTAGGAGTTTAGACAGTAGCTCATATGGGGGTTTCCCAAAATTGGGGGGTCTTTTTTAAAGGGGGTTTATCGTGGATATTTTGGGTGATATAGGACTTAGGGTTGTGGGATTAGGGTTTAGGATTTCCCGAAATTTTGGGTACCGTGCTGGGGTCCCTAGAGTCCGGAATCTTGTATTTTGGGGTCTATGTTGGGCTCCTCCTGTTTTGGGAAACTACCATATCCTGAAGCCTTGCCTCCCCCCACCGCCAAATTCTGAATCTCAAAAAATCTAAACCCTAAACCCTAAATCCTAAACCCTAAACCCTAAACCCGAAAGCTCAAAGGCCTGAAGCTTTGAGATCTCCACCCACCCCATGCCCCCAACCCTGCACACTCTACTTTTGCCTGGTGGAGTATTCGTTGTAAGCACCCTGAGCCCTAGACCCCAAAAAGTCTAAGGCTTACGATGCCCTAAGCCCCTAAACCCCTAAAGCCCCATAGACCGGTTTGGGGTTTAGGGCCCTAAGTCCGGGAACAAACCTAGTCCAACAGCAGACGCTTGGGCTCGAATCTGCTTGAGCTCGTGTATGACATTTGGAGCTACCCTTGCTCGGAAACTGCGCTTCAGGCGGCGGCTATCATAGAGCCGTAAGGGATCCCCGGATCTAGGGTTTAGGCTCTAGGGTCTGGGGTTTAGGGGGTTTAGGGTTTAGGGCTCTAGGGCTTAGGATCTAGGATCTCGGATTTTAGGGGGCAGGGTTTAGGGTTTGGGGTTAGGGTTTAGGACTTCGGGTTATTTGGGGGCTCATTGCTTTTCGGGGGATCTCTATTAGCCCGTGATACTGTGGATGCTCAAAATTCTGCATGATGCCAAGTACCGTATTCCTTGAGAATTCGAGGTATATGTATACTGAGGTCATGCTGGATTTATGGTATCAATAGTACAGTACTACGGCTGGGTCCCTCAACCCTAAACCCTAAACACCTGGTAGCCTTCAATCATCTCCATTCCAGGCATGGAGTCAGGATCATTGTTGGTTCATTTTTTCTTTTAAGAAATTTGCGGGTTGGTCTGCAGGTCCCTTGAAAGGAGTGACTATTGGAAATGAACATACTCAAACGGAGATCCTATCCGAAAAGGGAACCTACTTTATGGCAATGGCGCGGACTGGTACTTCAAACGACTACTATATAATTCTTCAATAGAGAAAGAATACACATTTTTGATAGCGCCCCAACAGGAGGTAAAGCAGGGACTGAGAGACTCCGACGGACAAAGTCGAAAGTTAAAATTGAAACACAGTCATCCGGAAGCTTCGCGAGAACCATAAACTTCGAACCACCGTCGATTGAAAGGTCAGATCCCATCATCTAGTCCTCGGTGTCGTGGGCATGGCATTCTGGAATATCCAACCTGGCCAATCGTTAGCAGTTTTCTACGATGATGACAACATTTGGCATGAGCGGATCGCTTTGCGGAGGGTCCAGAACTAAGTGTGGGTCATGCATTCCCTGACGGAGAAAGAGGATGAACTAGTAGGCCAACAATGCGATCAAGGTGACCTCTCTGTCATGGCGCGCTTCTCGGGGAGTACTCCCTGCGCTTGAAATCAAGCAGACAGGCAGGCAATGCGGTAGTGTGGCAGAACACCCAATCGATGACGACCCCGGGCATTTCACATTCAGACAAAGGAAGAGCGAGCTCCGTCTAAACAAGCCGCTGCAGTCAAAGACCAGGATGGGGACTTGAGCCTGGCGGGCCAACCTTTCATCATACCGCAGGCAGAAATGACCTACAACAAAAGCAAGCAGGACCAAACCAGCGAATCTGCCACCAGGGCTGCATTTCCTGTGTTCAGTCACTATCTACCCTGGGAGGACGCAAAGTTTAATATTTAAGACAATGACGCTTGAACCTTCAGCCGCCTTTTTGCTGAACTCTGAGGCTGCAAGCCCTCAACCCCAAACCCTTAACCCTGAACACCCAAGACCTTGAACCTTGAACCCTAAGCCCTAAACTCTAAACCCCTTAAACCAAGGCCCGAATCGCAGCCTCAAACGCAAAGCTTTGTCGACGTAGGTCCATGCAGGCGTCCCTCCAGCCGCAACTGGCGGCACGCCGCGAGGCAGGCAGTGCTAGCAATTACCGGGTTATATACAGGTTATATTGGGGTTATATTGGGTTATATTGGGGGTTATATAGGGGCTATATTGAGGTTATATTGGGGTTATATTGGGACAATGGAAAATAAAATGGAAACTGCGATTTGGGGAGTGAGAGGTCCAGTGGCCCATCCTGGCAACAACGTGGGCTTTGAGGTTAGGCTTCGCATCCCGCAACTACTTGAAAGTCCAGGACTTGAAAGTCCAGGGGTTTGTTGGGAGTATCCATGACGATAAGGTAGTTTCCCTAAATTCTAGGACCCCAATATAGACCCCAAATACACCAGTTCTTACTGTGCGACGCCCAAAACTGTACCCTTGATTTTGGGAAACCTCCATGTATCGATATTCTCATTCTCCAGGACCATAAACTCCTTTGAGAGAACGCTCCAACCCTAAACCCTAAACCCTAAACCCTAAACCCTATGAAGCCTGGGACGGGGCGGGGTGGGAGCTCAGGGAATTCCTTAAGCGACCTGGGTGTTGGGTTACTTTAAAACCCAAGAACGAGTCTGCCAAGTTGTGGAAAGTCATGATGCAGACCTCAAACCCTAAGCCTTCTCATAGAATCCTTATATACCCCATATAACCCTGTATAACTCCTATAGAACAAGCACAGGACTGAACACTCAATAAAGGGAGCACCCAATCCAGCATCTGACTTGAAGCCTTGCGATGAAGTTGTTAATGCTTGGGATGTACAGGTCTGGAGACAGCTTCATTTCGCGACGTGTGAGCAAAATCAATCCCAAACACGTCAAAAACCAGGCCGTCTTCTCTATGGACGGGAGCAGATGGAACAGACACATGGAAAATGAATCGGCATTGGGAGCATGCAGGGCGTATATCAAGGAATCATGAAAACAGAGGCATAAACAATGCCAATACCCTTTGAGGTTTTGAGGTGCCATGTACCCTCCTAAAGATGCCAAAGAATCTGGAACCATAATAGTTAGTGATGATTAACGCCCTTACAGTAATATTTTAAACCCTTAGACGCTAAACCCTTAAACCCTAGACCCTTAAACCCTTAAACCCTTAAACCCTCAAACCCTAAACCCTCCCTTAAGCCCTAAACCCAAAAAAACTCAGAAGCTGTCCAAACCCTACAAACCCAATGCACCAGGTCGCCCACGGAACTGGCTCTGCTCCTCGCCTTGCGGAGCCGTACAGGAGGCCTCCCAAGCCAGAAAGCTTGTTAGGGCTTCAGTAGGAATATTAGGATTATGTAGGGGTTATATTGGGGTTATATTGGGATAATGGAGAATGGAATGGAAACTACTATTTTAGGGCCTAGGGTTTAGGGTTTAGGGTTTGGGGCTGTTCAGGGTGGGGGGTTTAGGGCTAAGGGTTTAGGGCTTAGGGTTTAGGGCTTGAGATTTAGGGTTTGCGGATTTAGGCTTGGGTTGTGGATTTTTTTGTGCTTGGGGCTGTGGAGTAGGACTGGGGTGTGGATAGATATCATGTCTCGAGGTTCCGGCCTTATTTTGGGGTTGGAAGGCTTAGATTTCGCCCGCCACCGCGGCGACCACCATGACTATCCAGCTTGTCCCCAAGCCCGTTAAGTCCTTCTCTGCAAGCCTTAAACCCTAAGTTCACCCTAAACTCTAAGCCCGAAATCTTAAACCCTAAGCCCGAACTCCTGAACCCTCAACCTTAAATCCGAAACCCTAAACCCTAAAGCCAAATGAGCCAGAGTCTAAACAGGAGTTTAGATTATAGCTCAAATTTCATCATCCCTATCCCATGGCAAGAGGCTCGCTGCCCCAGCAGCCGAGCCCTCCCACCGGGCGCCTCGGGCAGCCCTGGCTGTCGGAGCCTTGGGGGGGAGCTTAGGGGGATACAGGGGTTTCATGGGGGTTGTATTGGGGTTCTATAGGGGAATATTGGCGTTTGTATTAGGGTTATATAGGGGTTATAGTGGGATAGTGGAAAGTGAAATGGAAACTAGTATTTCAGAGTTTAAAGTTTGGGGTTTAGGGTTTAGCGGTTAGGGTTGGGCACAGGGTTTGGAGCTGAAGGGTTAGGGCCTAGGTTGAGGGAGTTGGGGGGCTTAGGGCTTGAGACCTGATACGTATGGATTAGGTCGACCCCCCACCCAGTAATAGTGACTTTAAGGGATAATAGTGATTCTATTAAGGCCCTCTTATATTCCTATTATACCACTATTACAGGGGGGGGGTCCTCCTAACATATGGATTTTGGGGTTTGGTTTGGGGCTCTGCGTTTGGGAGAGCGAGTGTTGGCCCGGGCAGGGACTGTAGGATGCGCTGTTTGGACGGGACCCCAACATGACCTACACTTTACACATTAAAATCATAGTTTCCATTTCATTTTCCAGTATGCCAATTTAACCCCAATATAACCCCTATATAACCCTAATATAACCCCAATATAGCCCAATATAACCAAGAATGTAGAAGCCCCTCTCAGGGATAAGTGGGGCGAGCGTTCACACCTTAATTCCGAGCGGACTTTTTTTGGTATGGATAGCAAGATAAGCGATGTCCTGAAGATGTTTTTGACGTCTGCTTTGGCCTTTCTATTAGTAATCGGGAGGGCTCCATTTCACGGGCCAAACCGGATTCGTACGCCAATTTCAGGCCCAGCCACCCCTTGCGCCTGTGCCCCAGGCTCTTGCAGGCTCCGCCGCAGGCGGCGCCCTGCGACGCAGAGGTTTGGGAAGGCCTCTCTAAACGCGTAATTCTAATTCCTGTTACTACGAGTGTTAGGGCACATGTTCCTTCATATGATCAATCGATTTACATTTTTGCTTTATGGATGTAAGCTGGAATCAGGAATTTCAGGCTCAAAGACGACCATTGGCTAGACACCATGGTATGGAAAACTAAAGATAGAAGTGGGCATCTGCCAAAATTGGCAGACTGTGGGTGCCTATGTTAGGGTTTAGGTTGCAGAGTATGGGTCCCTATATTGTGGCTTCCTTTATTCTCATGAGGCCTAAGTTTTCAAGGCCATACCTGGATATCTCTAAACTCATGGCGCAGCCAATGAGTGTGACTTTGCAAATTCTGAGCAGACTGCAGGCATCTCTGACGCGCGCACAGACACACGCATGCGCACACACACCTGGACCGCATATGCTTTTGCAGCGTCCGTGTCAGGAAAGTCCAAAGGAAGATGATTGAAAGGCGTGAACACTATCTGCAAGAGACCAAACTAGGTGACTAGGTGCTGGTGATCGAGACCAAAAAGTTGCATAGCAGGCCATTCTTTACTGGCACATGTGGGCAGAAGCGGAAAGGGTTGGCAAGACTACTAAGGAGTAAAATACCACTGAGGACTGTCACTCATGAACTCCACACGTTAGACTGCCTAATGTACGGGCCCAAATCATTTCCAACACTGTGGTTCGAGGTTCCGGGTTTGATTTTCGTGTAGGGTACCTCCAATAGGGCTCAAAGTGATATTGGCCTGCATAACCCCAGATTCCATTTGATGTTTTATCTTCTTGTCCATTTAATTCTCCCTTATTGGGATAATATCCTTAAACCCTCTACAATCCCTAAAGAAATTTATGGTAGCTTCCAGTTACTTTGTCCATTTTATTCAAATTTTCGGCCATGAGAAGAGCCCGAATCGGCTCAACCTGGGCCCTGGCCTTCTGTGCTGCCGGCATCTTCATCGCCGGCGCGCCCTGGGCGCGCGCCTGGGTTCCGGCCTCTGCCATCACCACCACCAAAAGAACCACCAGTACCACCAGTACCTCCAGAACCAGAACCAGAACCACCCGACAATCCTTTAGCATCAGAAGAATCACTCCACGCGCGCTGCGCGTCCTGCGCCGCGCTGGGCTGCAACCGCCGCAGCTGTCAGAGGGAGACCGAGACCCACCAGTGGAATCTTGGGAACTTCATTGGAATCAAGTCCTGTGAGGTCTATACATACCTTTTAGGACTTTATGTTTAAGTTGCCCCCAGGATCAGATGTGAGTCATTTGACATAGTCAGGGAATGCAGGCCAATAGAATCCCTCCCTTGCCCTCTCAAGCCTTATTAGCTCTGTGTAATGCCAGCGTCTGAAGTGGGGTGATAGCTTTGGCCTTTCGGAAACCCTTCACATCGAGTTACGACTTGGTTTGAGGTTTAACGCAGGGTTTGAGCCATTACAATTAGGATATACGGCTTAGGGTTTGGGGTCATCCCCATAATGAAGACTATAGTATTTTGGGGTCTATAATCGGTCCCTCTCTGATGGAAACTCCCATTCACGGTTTGGGAGTGGCCCGGCAAGGAGATATAGTCCCCCTTAAGTAGATAGAATATGGGGTATATAGGGATCTTATCATAATGTACTCAAAGCCATATTCTATCTACTTAAGTGGGACTATACTCCGATGCAGCAGCATACCCAGACTGAGCTAACAAAGCTTGGGTACCACAGGGCAGTGAAGAAGGACAGAACAGCTCGCCTGTGGCCCTTACGTAGCTACAGAATACCGTAGCCATGTTTGTAGCAAGCATGCCATCGGAATGGCTTCAGGTTGACACTTGGAACTGGAGTTTCTCCTTGAAACCCTAAACCCCAAAACCCAAACCTTAAACCCTAAACCCCAAACCCTAGAGCCTAAGATCCCTAAGCAAGGAGACCGGCCGCAACCCGCAAGCTGTGGCCACGGAGTTCGCTTGGGGGATTGTTCCTGGGCTGCTGTTAAGGAACTTCGTTTAAGTTACTATATTGGAGTATAATATAAGGTTTAGGGTCGAGGAATTTCATTCAAAGTTACTATAATAAGGGTATATAGGGGGTAAATATATAGGGGCATATAGGGACATAAAGGGCTTAGGGTTCAGGGTTAAGGAACTTAGTTTAAGTTACCAATTTGTCCCCCTATAATGGAGAATCACATGGAAAAGAAAATGGAAAATGAAATGCATACGGCTAGTATGGGGATTTAAGAGACTTTAATTTAAGTTACTATATTGGGGAAACCTTATTATTTACTATGCATACCCTTTATGGTAACCTAAGTTTAGTCCCTAACAGCAATCCAGGTTCTGCTGCCTTTGTCAGTGCTGGGCCTCATCGCCGCGTAGCTTTGCTGATGCCACCTAGGGTTCTACAGGGAGTATATGAGATATATAGAGGTTACATAGGGGTTATGGAGGGTGTAGGGATATTGCCCCAATAATGGAGAATCAAATGGGAAACAAGGTGGACAATGGGTTATACAGGTTGGTATCTAGGGGTTTCAATGGGGGAATTAGATGGTTCCGCTCACTCTCTCCAAGCCCTGAACAAATGATATCACGCTGCTGAAGGGATCTCTAGTAAACCCTAAACCCCTAAACCCTAAACCCTAAACCCTAGTGACATTACAACAAGCATCCCCTCCACTTGATGCTGGCTATTCCTTGTTCAAGTAGCAACATGGAGTCACGCGAATGGGACTGTTCGGAGGGATGGGACGCGCAATATGGGTTTCACCTGCCAGAAGGCAGAATCTGAATCCCAGAAGAGCTATAGTCTGAGCTCCTAAAAGGGGGTTATATAGGCGATTCCATAGGGGAGCATAGTTTAGATAATCTGGCTCACAAGCCGCGAATCCTGTGAAGCTATATCCTCTAAACCCTGCTCTCTATCCAAGCCTAGGCTTATCCCTAACAAAGCCTATCTGATTTGACCAACGATGTAACGATGAAACTGTAGGTAGTGGGGGTTGCAGGTCCCAAAGCCCCAGACCCTAAACAACAGTTTCCACTTGCTTTTCCTTGAGGTTGGCCCCATATACTCCTAATAGAAGTTAGAGGTACACCCTGTCATCTAAACTCTAAACCCTACACCCCTAAACCCTAAGCCCGAAGCCCTAAGCTATCATGCCCTAAACCCTCAACCCTAACCCCTGGTTGGTGGAGAAAAAATCCGAGAAAAAAAAACCCTAACCCCTAAACCCTAAACCCCTATATAACCCCTATAAACCCCATATTCTAGCTACTTAAGGGGGACTATAAGCCATCAAGGTAAGCTTCCAAGGTACCTCTTCAGCGGTTTTCTGAGCGCTACGTCGCAGCCACCTCCGGAGGCGAGGGGTCTACGGCTTGGGATTTAGGCTTCGGGGCATTTTTTTTGATTTAGGGTTTAAGGGTTTAGGGTTTAGGATTTGGGTTTTGGGGCTCTGGGATTTAGGATTCTGGGCTTAGAGTTTAGGGTTTAGGTTTCCGAGGCTTTAGGGTTTAGGATTTGTGGTTCAGGATTTAGGTTCTAGGATTTGGGGCTGAGGATTTAGCGTGCAGAGTTTGGGTTCTAGAATCCAGAGTTTAGGTTGTAGGGCTTTAATGAGTCGGGGAAGGGCAGTTTTCTACCGCGAGGTAAGAGTCATTGAAGGATTTGTACCGTACTACTTGCACTTGACTGTTCAAGCTTGAGGTCATCCCTCTTGTGAGACCCTCCAAATCCCTAAGCCCGCATCCCTATATAAATCCTAAATGTCCCCAGACAATCTCTTGAAAGGCTGCTAAGGGCCCCTGAACTCCCCTGTCTCAACATCCTGAGCGGTCACGACCCCTCGACCCTGTGGCAGGTTCCGCTGTCAGAGTCACTGGCGGCCCTCATCTCCATTGAGGCTCAGGGTTTGAGCCTAGTATGAGGGGATTCCAATGGAGTTATGGGGCTCCTCAATCTCAGAAAAGGGGGATTGCGGAGGACTTCACGCATTGGGGATCAGATTTCAGGTTTGGGTGTAGTTTTGAGTGGGCTAAGCTCTTCGTCGCAAGCGCTGAACCCAACCTAGGCTCTAACTGCCATGCTTGACTCGCAGCTCTCTAACCCGTTCGTCTGTCTCTAACAAACACCCTAAACAACCCAAATGTGTAACCTTAAGACCTGAGCTTTAGATCCAACACCTTGAATTGAATTCTAATCCCTTGCAGGACGATTATGCGGTGCGGGGACCTTCGATGGGCCTCCGCCAGCGCCTGGCAAGATGGTCTCCTGGCTTAGAGGGGGTTTATATACTATGATTTAAGGTTTAGGGTTTAGTTTAGGGGTCAGTAACAAGAGGGTCTTGGTAACCGTAAATCCTGCAACTATCAGGAGGGCCCTTTAGGAGTTACATGGTAGTATTTCCAGGAACCTTACTTCAGAGGTTGTGGCAACCAAAATCCTCTTACCACCCTAAATATAGAATCTGAATAACACCCATATCACCAGTGTTTGCATCTCATTGTCCATTTTCTTTTCTATTTGATTTTCCAGTATTAGTGGAATATCCTTAAACCCTCCAAGCCCATAATAAGCACAAAATGACCCTAAACCCTAAACCCTAATCACTGTCTGAGCCCTTGTTTGCCACTCTTGCAGGTTTCACTGGGCCGAGCCGAATCGGCGAGTGGACTTTGAGATCAAGGATCTCCCAGCCAGCCCACTCAAGGACTTAGGGTTTAGGGTTTAGGGTATCATACCCTCACCCTGCAATAGTGATAGAATAGCATGTAAGAGGAATATAAGAGGAGCCTGGCCTAATATAATCACCATAATCCCTTACAGTCACCATTGCTGGGTGGGGGGGTCACCCAAGGTATAGGGTTAAGGGTTAAGGTCTGACAGGCATTGGATTGCTTCTTCTTATGCTTGCTCGGGTTTCTGGGCTTGGCGTTTAGGTGTTGGAAGGGTTCTCTTTATCACCCTACAGAAGCCCTTGATCACGCCTATGTCACCCCAGCTTCCATGCTGTTTTGCATTTCTATCTGACTCTCCATTATCGGGGTATTATCCGATAACCCTCTAGGCTCCCTAGAACCCCAGATATGGTAGTTTCTATACCCTCAACCAATTTATGTTCTTTTTGATTCTCCATTCTTGGGGGCATCTCTGGTGGGCACGGTGGCTCTTCAAGGGGATGCTAGGGTTCAGGGTTTAGGGCTGCCTTCATTAGTCTGAGCTGATGTTTTGGTGGTTTCGTCCACTTTCGCGACCATTTCATTGACACATCGAATCCACATTAGCTGCGTGAGCTTTGACAATCTGGTGACGAAGCTTGAAGCTCCCCAACCCACATCCGGAACTAGTGAACCCGGAGCAATAGTATAGTATAATAGGGTATATATTGGGGTTATGTAGGGAAGAATGGAAAAGAAAATGGAAACAATAATCCCTAAACCTCAAGCCCCTGACCTCAGCAGACCATACTCTGAACCCCGAGCAACCGCCCCAACAACCTGAAATCATGAACACCTTTGAAGCTATAGTCCCCCTTAAGTAGATAGAATATAGCTTTGGGTGTATTATAATAAGATCCCCATATACCCCATATTCTATCTACTTAAGGGGGACTATACCCCTCAGATCGTCCCCCTCCTCGGGTCCCGTGTTTGATTACTATCATTGGGTGTTTCCCTCACCCACTCCCCTTCAACCCTTGAGGAGCAAATCCGACAGAAAGGGAAGGATGCGGCAGAGGACATCGCCATGACTGTGGAGTACTTCGTGGCGGGGAAGCTGGGTCTCGACTTTAAGGGTTTAGGGTCCTAGGGTTTAGGGGGCTAACCCAGACCCCTGATTAATAACGGCCCTCCTCTTAATAGGGATTATAATAGGGATCCTAATATTTAGGCCCTTAAAAGCAAAGGGTTTATGAATCATGGGTCCACATTAGGCAGGGATAGGACCGACCTTCTAAGAAACCCCGGATTCCCGCAACTTCCTTCCTAGACTTCTTTGGGGGGTCTGTCCTATTTCGGGCCTCTAAGAATCTACGTGCCCCAGGTTTGGCCTTAAGGCTTGGGATTTAACTCTTCTGGTTTGGGATTTAAGGGTTCAGGTGCAGGGTTTGGGCTTGAAGGCTTTAGGCTTTAAGGCCCACAAGGCTTGAGGGTTTGAGGGCTAGGGCGTAGGGGTTTAGGTTGGGCTTTGGGGCTTTGATGTGTAGGGGATGGGGCAACTTAAGCAATTTTGGCGGCAGGGTTTGAGCTTTAGCAAACCTTGAACATACTAAATTCGAAGCTTTACAAGGAACGGCATCATCGATGACTCTGGCTCCTCGCGCATGGCTGATCGCCTTGCACAGGACCGGGTTTCATGAAACACTTTCGTTCAGCGTAGTTTAGGGCCTTATGCGGAACCCCATATTGTCCAATTTAACAGAGGCTGCATGTAGCATGGGGGGAGCGGTTCAGAATTTTGTGGGCTACTGCTGCTAATCCTTGGGTGGTCCTTAAGGTCCCCTTCCCCGTTTCTCAAGTTGGGCCAATAACAACCTCATTTCCAGTGGCTGGCTGGTGCACTTCGCGGCTGTGGCCTTGGGATAGTAAAATGCATACACTATATGGGGATTTGCCAAAATTAGGGGTACTATTTTGGGAATAAGGACTATAGTATTTTGGAATGTATTGGGGTCCTCTTATTTTGGGAAATTACCATACAGTATAGTGTAACAAGTTGAACCTAAACCCGAAACCCTAGATGTCAAAAGCTGGGCAAGTGCAGGATGAAGCTTCGCGTGGGTACCCAGAGGCTGAGAGATTTGCCGAGACATGGCTCCAGGTAAAGCCTCGGGTTTAGGTTTTAGGGGCTACATCCTGGGCCCTGGAGGTAGGTATAATATTGGCCTTTTGGGCTAGATTCTTGGGGGATATTTGTTTTTTGGGTTTAAGGCTATAGGCCACAGAGACTTTGTCAGACCGCGGTGCATGTTTTGGGTACGTCCATCCTGCAAAGCCCTTGAAGACCGGATTTTGCCACTAGGTTCCCATTCATTGTTCCGTCCGCCCGCCCACCCGCCCATTAATGTACAATGTATACGTATCTGGGTCATTGTTGGACATATTCGTTAATCCTGAGCGCATGAAGAAATCCAGGATTTAAAGTTTTTGACAGAACCCCCCAATGGAGAGCCTGTTACACATATTCGCTGAAGAAGCCGTTCGCGTAAGGAGAAGGCCTTGCATGAGGGCCGCAAGTCGCTGTCGGAGGCTGTTACGCTGCTCCAGGAGGCCCTGGACGCCTGGCGATCTTTTGGGGTTCAGGGTTTAGGGTTTGAGGCTTTAGGGTCCTGGGGATTGGGCAGGGGTTCAGGATTGGGTGGGAGTTGGGGATTAGGTTCATCATGTATGTCGCTGGCAGGTCATGATACAGCTAGGTTACCCTTCCATGATGTTGATTAAGTTCATGGAGGAGTGGAGTAAAATTAGCGGTAGCCATCCAGTGCGCAAGATAGCTGTTCTAGCTATAGCAGAATGTACGTCATGGGGATCTGTTGCAGTAAGCATAAGTAGTGTTTCGTACTAAACCTACCCTTAACCCAACATCCTATACCCTCCTCTCCCCTCAACCCTAAATTCCAAACTCTCTATACCTTACACTCTTGAACCTACAGCCCTAAACCCCAAGTTTCAACCCGGAGCTCCCGACCAAACCCCAAGCCCTAAACCCAACACCCAAGGATAACGAGGAGGCTGAGACAGAAGAGTCTGCTGAATGAAAGGCAGACCCCAAGTAGCCTTTTCGATGCTGGAGGAAAATGAGCGCAAGTACTCCTCCCATGAGGAATGCGGCAGGGTTTAGGGCTGAATCGTGAGTATTAGCTTTAGGACTCAGGGTTTGAGTGTAGAGTTTAAGGCTTAGGATTCAGGTTTAGGATGTAGGGTCCAGGCTCAAGGCTCAGGCTTATGGGTTTAAGGTTCAGGATTTGGACTCTGAATAAACCCCGCCCGAATGATGACTGTTGCATGCGAATTTTTCTTCGATCCCTTCAGGTCAGGTTTCCTAGAGATGTCAGGAAGTCGCTTGATAATTCTTTTTTCTCCTTATGACCCCCAGATAAGCAGCTAAGATGATTGTTTGGGGAGAAACTTCCACGGCCAATCCAAGTTAAGTAATGGTGAATGTCGAGTGAGGAGGGGGCCGGAGACGAGTAACATGAATTGCGTTTGGGACCCCTCCCAAAGACCTACCTCTAAGCTGCTCCATGGCTTGTCCAGTTAGGGGGGTTTAGGGTTTAGGGTGGTTTGAGGAACAGGGAAGGGAGCAGACGCCCTAATGGTTTCTCAATGCTTTGCCAAGACAGACTGGCTACGAGAATGCTCAGGGGCACCTAAACGTCACGTGAGGGTTTCAGGCTTACTGAGTTCCTTATTGGCCTGAACCCTAAATCCCGCCAACTACGACCCTATAACAGAGTGTAATAGCTCAAGAGATTCGCATGAGAAGGCTTCTTGACTTAGGCAAACGCTTTGGGCTCAGGTAGTGTAAAGGATGTCAGGTATGTCGGCTGCATGTTACGGGGATCCACGGGCGCATAGCCGACATGCCAGTTGTTTGCTTTCGTGGAGGCTTTCATTCAGGGCCTATGCTTCAAGATGTCGGAGCTTACAAAAGTAGTCCCTCTATAACTGTTAAGGAGCCCTGAGATGCAATCCACCATTTTGAGAAACCATCGCATGAATTAGGCCTCTAGACTTGGGGACAGCCCGGGGATTCGATTGCCCACTGCCGCAGGAGTGCGCCAGTTCGAGGCCCCATCCTGTATCACATCTTGAGCCCGGTAGAAAGTGCGACATCCAGGGCTTTGACCCTAGACCCCAAACCCTAACCCTAGACCCTAAACCATAGACCCCAAACCCTTAACCCCCAAACCCCAAACCCTAAACCCTAGACCCTAAGCCCTAAACCCAAACCCTGGACCATGTCCCGAGCTCCACCCGCCTACCTGGAGAGCCAGCTGATAGAAGTTAAATGTAGGCCTTTCATATGCAGCTGGGAGATCTCAAAGCTATTTCGGGTTGAGGGATTTAGGGTTACCTAGGGGTTTGGGGATTTAGGGTTAAGGTCTTGATCTAAGGGGTTCCTTGCTATGTGCATGTTGATTTGATCTTTTTTTTGGCACTTATAGGAGGCCTTAGCCGTAGTCATATTTAACCTTTGCGACAAATTCTATGAATCTATGAATCATATCTTCGCTGGCACCACAACGGTATGAAGTTTGGTATTTCCTTAAATCTCCCGGCTGCTAACTATCGTAGATTAACTTGGTTCTCCAGGCAGAATCTGCCAGGCGACACCAGGCGACAGTAGTCCCCGCAATGGCAACGGCGACGTTGGCTCCCGAGGCTTGGGATTTGGAGTCTACATGAGCTGTAGTCTAAACTCCTTAGAGGAGGTTATATAGAGGACCAACATAGGGGTGACTAAGGGGGATGCTTTAGACTATGGCTCGCGAATTACGTTTAGTTTTATGGGTTGTGCCCACGAAATTCGAGGTAACTTCTACCAAGCTGTGGGGGCTTGGTGTTACAGGTAGGCTTGGGGCAAGGGTATTAGGGTGCAGGACTCGGGTGGGTCGTGCGTGAAGGGGGTGTAGGACTTCTTGGGAAGTGAAACTGCGATGTGCTGTTGCAGGCGAGAATCAGTTCAGTGTTTTCGAAGCCTGTATGGTATAAGATGTCTTCGAGTTTGAGTTTAGCTTACGGTCAGCTCCACTACGCCGACAGTCTAAACCCCACACTCTAAATCCTAAACAGCGTGGCTGGTAAGAACGCATATTTTTGCAGCAGTTGGTAGGACTTGTTGCTGGTAGGTTCCGGGGGTGTTTCTAAGAGTTTCTGCTTTTCGATTGCGATTTATATTTCAATCACACGGCCACTCTTTGAGAGGTAGCCAAGGATGCATGGAGCTTGTCATAAATCAGGGGCCCCTTTCTGGGAGGTCCCACAATAAGAACTGTAGGTCCCACAATACGAACTGTAGTTTGTTCTTCAGAAAGGGGACCTTTCAACCTGTGAGGGTCTTCCTACGCAAGTCGGGCTGTGTGGGGAGTTGTTTGACATGTCCCCTCGTACAGCCTAAACTGCTGTTGTGGCGACCCCCCCAAATAGCCTCTCCTAATTTGCAGGTTTGGGGGTGTTCAATCCCTAGACCCTAAACCCTAAACCCCAAACATTAAACCCTAAAACCCAAACCCTAAACCCCAAACCCCAAGCATTAAACCCTAAGCCCCAAATCCTAAACCCCATTTGGATTTGTGGGCTCCGCCATTGTTGCTAATTCGAGGAGACCATGGTCGAAGTTGCAAGCAAAGATGGGGGTTTCCAGACATTTTTGCCCGTTGGTGGGCAGTCCTTATAGTATGAGCTATAATCAAAACCCCTCAAGGGGGGGGGGTTATATAGGGGATTATGTAGGGAAGCATTATAGAGGTTATTCAGGGGGATACTTAGAGTCTAGACTAGAGCTCATAATATGGCTTAGAGTATTCTGTATATGTGGGTTCCCCTATGCATGGAGTCATGGAGATACCACATCTCAGTGTCTGCAGAATTGAGAAAAGTCGAACCCGCCCCGTGTACTCGTGTTTCATCAGTTGGGGGCGTCCAAGTTGCATTTCTTTAGCCAGCGAAAGCACCAATAATAAGGGCACCAGGGGCATTTTTCGGGTGCAGCATAGGTATGGGCCCTTACTCCTGGGCCCTCATAGAATCACTATATTCTAACTCCATACCCTGAAGCCCTTAGAATCCCAATTCAGGAGCCATACGTAATTCGGACCCGGGATATAGGTAGGAATCCCATATTAAGGGCCCATGCTTAGGAAATTGAAACGAACTAGGCCAAGATTGGGCTCAGCCAGCCTAAGGTTGAGGCGTGCGCGCAGTAGACATTTTCATTAGGGTTTAGGGTTTAGGGTTTAGGGTTTAAGGGTTTAGGGGTTTAGGGTTTAAGGGTTTAGTGGTTGGGGTTTAGGGTTTAAGGGTCTGTTTGGGGTTTAGGGTTTAAGGGTTTAGGGGTTGGTGTTTAGAGTTTGGGGTTTAGTGCTTATGTAGACATTTTCACAAGTCTGGGTCCCATCGTTCGAGGTGGCATTCATAATACTACGGTTCCCTACAATGGGCCTCCTTTTGTAGTACGGGTCCCTATCTAAACTTCCCTCCTTTGCAAAACAGTAATTTTAGGCAAAGCCCCATTCAGCCTGCATCAACAGTAGCTTCGGAGAGACACCTGCTTCTCCTTTGACCCTAAACCTACATTTTTTGGTTTGGGGTGTAGGGAGTAACCCTAGACCCTTTGCCAATTACCTCTGATCTTCAATAGTAGTTTCGAAAATTGCGGGTCCCAATTCAATATACACATCCCAAAACTATTATCCTTATTAAAAGTACCTCCGAAAATGGACTCCTCATTTCTTGAACCCTCCCAAATCTTGAAAGCGCCTAGTCCAGGTTCAAATCTCAGCGTTTTGGGTCGGTACTGCCAGAACACTGCACCTAGTATTGGCGGGGTACTTATTTGCACTGAACCTTAAAACCAATACCCGCAAACCCTGAACCCTTGATTATGCCCCAAACCCTAAACCCTTAAGCCCTAACCCTAGCCCATAAACCCTGAACCCCTAAACCCTTAAGCCCTAACCCTAAACCCCTAAACCCTGAACCTTAACCCTTAAGCTCCTAGCTGCGCTGGTCTCAGAAGCGAAACGCCGGCTTGGAATGCTTGACCCATGTGAGCCATAATCTAAACTCCTTAAAGGGGGGTTATATAGGGGGTTATATAGGGGATATATTGGGATAATGGAAAAGAAAATGGAAACTATTATTTAGGGTTTAGGGTTTAGGGTCTAAACTCCTTGAAGGGGGTTATATAGGGGACTATAAGGGGGACTATTATATGGGGGTTATTAACTGGGATACTAGGAGTTTAGACTATAGCTCATGTCTCTTTCTTCAGGTTGCGTAGGAGACGGCACAAGACCTAATCCCAGTTGCTCCTGCCTGAGACCAGATCCTTTTCTTCAACTATGAACCGTAAATTAGCTGCCGCTTTGGGATGATAAGTAACTTCCCATACTCTGTTATATAGGGTTTAGGGTTTAGGGTTTAGGGAATAAGCATACCTATTCGTTAATAGATTTTTGGAGAAAGTTCTGAACCAAATCTCCGTCCCCAACCTCCAGCAGGCGCCGACAGAGATTTTCCGCAAGGATTATACTGCCCCGTGACTTGGCAGCCCATTCCAATGTCTAATGTAGAAGCCCCAAGACTTATCAATACTATTTGCTTAGGAACCTTATACAACGATTGCATGTAGTAAAGTATTGTAAAGCATAGCCAGTATATAGTAATAGTATTGTATTGTATACCCCAAATCCAACTTATTCTAACTCATAGATGCGTACAGGATGGTTCAGAACTGGATGCATGTTTTCGCGTACCGTGTTCAGCATTGTTGCCCTCCTTCATGTCACGTTTTGAGGGTTTGTTCACCTGGCCCTCATTAATGTAAAGTGTTTGCAGGGAAACTAAGGAATAGTTCTGGGATCAGAAGCTCGAAGCTATAAGTTTCCGAAGTAGACCTGTTGAAGCATTCTCAGGCCCATTCCTTTCTCCAAACAGCATGGTTACGAAGCTTCCACCCATTCCTTGCGCATCCCACCTTGGGGCCTGAGGTAGGCGAGCCAGCTGTTCGCTTGTTTGTTACTAGTAAGGATTG